CCCTACCCCGATGCCAGTGAGCATCAAGAAATCGTAGGGAGTCATCCTCATGTCTCCCATGGCAGAAAGGTGGAATGAGTCGGTGGTGTCCCACCACCTCTCTGCTAGAGCGGCGCGGAGAGGCCTGCTCGTCGTCAGTCTGGAAAGCCCTCTGCAAAATGTGCCGAAGCCGGCCTGGTCCATGATGTGGCAAACCGCGTCGGGTAACTCTGCATACCAATCCCGAGCGGCAATATTCCCATACCCCCGGACGGTATGAGAATCTCCCTGTTTTTAAGCAGACAATGGCGAAGAAACGCTAAAGTACAGTTTTGAAAAGCATTCAGATTTGGTAGTGAACTATAACATGTGATGTGTCAGTGTGTTTGCATGGTTTGTTGTAGATACAGCATGTGTGCACATTTTCCAGATTCAAACAGATATCAGGTGTTGGTGTGCTCGTAGTGAACTACAGTGACTGATGTGTCAGTGTATTTGAGTGGTTCAAGGCAAGTGCAATGTGTGTGCATATGTTCAGATTCAAACAGATAACAGTTACAAGTGTGTTCACGGTCGATTACAGTGTACAGTGCCTCAGTGCATTTGGGCTAAGCAGTTAAAGAGCATAATCAGTTATGGCAGCTAAGTATTCTACATTGCGGAAAGTAAAGCAGAGGGAAGAATGTTACCTCGGAAGCGCCGAAGGACAAATGAGATGTAGGCTCGCGCAAGAGAAGCTCTGGAGGCACGCCCCTCTCGAAGCTCCTGAACTGGCGCAGTCCATCAGGAGGCAGGATGTGAATCGCCGGCCGGTAGGTCGCCGGGTCGAACGGGCGGACGCTCAAGGGGAAGAGCTCGGCCTCTGGATCCATCTCATGCTCTGGGGGAGTCCCGCCCTGTGGAATATCGTCGGCCATATCAAAAGTGACGAAGAAACTGGTCGGAAAAAGAAAATAAAGCTAGAATGCGAAGGGTCAACGAAAGGTCAACCCCCGGGAGGGTGGAAAATGGCTGGAAAAGCCAGAACGTGGAAAATGTGGGAAAATCAAGGAAAACTCGAGGGGAACAAACCCCAAAAAGAGGAAATAGCAAAGGAAGCACCGAAACGAAGTTTTGATCGGTTCAAAATATTCGAAACGCGAAGAACTTCGCAAATCCGATGACGAAACGGGCGCAAAAACACGAGAAAAACGAGGAACGAAGGAAGAAAAATGTCCTAGAGAGAGGGAGGAAGCATTTTCAGCTAGAGAGAAATGAGAAAAATAGGGTTTGAAACCCTATTTTAAAAGACCCGAGGTGAAAAGTTAAAATTGCCCCCATTCAGGCATTTTTGGCCGGTCGGTTACATTTTTGGCCGGCCGGCCAAATATTTGGCCAGTGATGTATTTTGATGGCCGATGAATAGCCGGTGACTCCCCCTTCGGGCCGGTGAGCCTCCTACAACCTTGTTTGGGTCAGATCTGTAATTTGGGGCCTTCATTGCTCAAGATAGTACATGAAAAGGCATTTTCGAAGCTCAATCGGCCTCCGTTTTGGCCTCAGACCGTGTCTTCTGTGCGTGGCACTCGAATATGTGCGAGGAGTATCCTTTTTGTATCCTTTTGTCCCTTACAAGATGTGAAAGTTGCCTTACTTGCATTGCATTACGACGCTTTGTCATGAACGCGCGCTGGTTATGCGTTATCTAGTTCGCATTGTTGCGCACATATCCTGTAAGTATCATACACATGTCAATCGCACTGTCTTGTGCATTTCAAATCAATCGCACTGTCTTGTGAATTTCAAATTAATTGCATTGTTCTGCGCACTCGCGTTGTCTAACGCATCGCGCTATTTTGCGCATCTTATTGCATTTTGCATGCATTCCATCGCGCTATCTTGCGCATCGCACTGTCTTGTGCACTCGCGTTGTCTAATGCATTGGTGTGCACAGTTCGTTTGTTTGTGAAGAGGGTCTACAAGCCGCGTGTTGTCGCGCATTTCAAAATCATGCATTATCATGCATTTTCAAAAGAAAAACAAAAAAGAGAGCAACATGTATCGCTACGGTCTGGCGAGACCTTAAATACGCTCGGTCTAGGAGACCCTAAATCCGCTGAAGGTGCAAGTCCTTCGGTGTTTGTCGTGCCCGAACGACTTTTGATAAGTTGCATTATACATGTATTTCAAGCGACTTGCGTCGTTGCATATTCAAGTTCACGTGCACTTCAAAAGCCGCATGTTGTCGCGCATTTCAAGATCATCTGCATTGTCATGCATCTCAAAAGCCGCGCGTTGTCGCATATTTCAAAATCATGCATCATCATGCATTTGCATTTCAAAAATGAAAACAAAAGAAAAACATGCGTTATCATGCATTTTCCCTTTATCATGCATTGTCACGCATTCAAAAAAACAAAACAAAAAAACATGCATATGTCATGCATCATTGTAAATAGTGCATATGTCATGCATTCATTGTAAATAGTGCATATGTCATGCATCACTGTAAATAGTGCATATGTCATGCATTCATTGTAAATAGTGCATATGTCATGCATTCATTGTAAATAGTGCATATGTCATGCATACCACTGTAAATAATGCATATGTCATGCATCTTACTATAAATATTACATTTACGCCCATCCATTGCATATTTGTAAATAGTACATTGTAGCTTGCACGCATTCACTGCATCACCCCCACCTATGGCTTGCGCCTTTCCATGTTGAGCTTGGTCTGGTATGTGCCCACACTTTTCACATCGAAGCACAGTTCTGCATGTGTACGCGCTTATTCCACGCTAGTATGTTGGTTTGAGGGTTGCGGCACCGTTTCTGTGTTAGATGTGGTTTGTTTGAGTACATGCCTTTCCTAGGCAACATCTGGTTTCGCCCGCGCGCCTTATCCATAATAAATATTCCATTCCATTGCATATTTGTATATGTTGCACTGTAGCTTGCATGCATTTACCGCATTACTTGCATCTAGGGCTTGCGCCTTTCCATGTTGAACTTGGTCTGGTATGTGCCCATACTTTTTGCATCTATATACTCATAGTTCTGTATGACCGTTCTATGTTAGACGTGGTTTGTGTGTGTCCATACCTTTCCTCGGCAAGATTTGGTTTGGCTGCTTGCCATATCCATTATATATATTACACTGTAGTGTAATTTTTGCATCCAGCATTAGGACCATTGGTCTTTCTTCAGTGGGTCATTTCCCCACCTATGTCATCCCACCCAATTACCTGTTCTTGTGTCCATCTACATCACTCATAGTTCTGCATGTGTACGCGCCTATTCCACGTTGGTATGTTGGTTTGAGGGTTGCGGCACCTTTTCTATGGTAGACGGACTTGTTACTTCCATCAATCTATTTGACATTTGTGTGGTTTTGAACCGCTCATGATTTGATTATGATTCAATTGCATTGCATTTTCATCTGCATTACTATACATAGTTTTGTATATCGCATATCATTTTACATTCATTTTGAATACTGCTAACAATATCTGTACCTGTTAAGCTTTCTTTCTTTCAGGCACGATATTGTACGTACGGTTCATTTGAAGCTGGTGCAACCAGACGAAACGCTCAGGTATTGTATTCTCCGAGTTAGACGTATCAAGCATTACATAATTCTCTTACATCCTTTCTGCATCGTAGTGTAGTTTGGTGTATGCTAGCTTAAAACTATCGCATGTTATGCTTCGTTACAGTTTTCTTTACGTGATCATAAGTTATGTTCGGCTTTGTGCATTGTCTTGCATTTT